AAGACTAGAGGGATGGCAGCTAGTCATCACCACCCACCGCCAACTCTTGGGCTACTCTTTTTACCAATGAATAGTGAGATTGACTTTCACATTATAATAACCCCCACGGCTGAAAGGGGGAGCATTTTGGTGTGATGGGAATTCGAACCCGCGACCCTCAGATTGCGAGTCGAGCGTCCTAACCACCTGGCCATGCCCCTCTATAGCAAGGTATGATTCATGACCTTACGTTTCGATTTAAATGTTGATAGTTCTAGGTCAAATCCACATTTCATTCATTTTCGAATATATATATATATATATATATATATATACAATATCAATACAAGATTCAATTTGATGGTAGCCAGTGACATGTGGTGAACAACATGCTGGAGGATGCAATTATACATATGGGTGGAGTTGAGGATATGGGTTGGGGGGATGTGCAAGGCCTGGAATTATTTTCTTTCATTGTAATGTAAATTTAGTACTTTGTTCTTTATGTAGCGGTATGATGACAGTAATAATATATTGATAACATTAAATCGATATAGCCACTTTTCTAATGACTTATATATAAATATAGTGACCATCAAGGTGAATTGAAATCTAGTAACAAACTGTTAAAAACAATTGGCAACAGGGGACATGACTGCTATAACAGTTAAGCTAAATATATTTTAAAAATACTATTAAAAAGTTTAGACTAAATTTGAACTAGGCCTGTTTGATTCACGTTCTGCCGTATTGAACTTTATGAAGTCGTGACTGCCGTGTTTCGTGATACCAACTTCTCAGGAATTTAGTCAGTGTTGCTACAAAAGAGTATATCCGTACTATTTTGATACTTGTAGGAGTTTCTGGTCTAGATCTGCAATACGTTTTTAAACACTAAAGTTTGTATGTTTTAAATGCCCATAATCATACACTATAGAGAGGAATGAATGACTAAAACATCAAGGTTTGATTGATGACTTGAGTTTCAATTAACTGTTGATATTTCTAGGTTATAACCACATTTCATTCTTTTTCGGAAAAATGGTACAGTCTCAATACAAAATTAAATTTGATGGTCATCAGTGACATGCGGTGAACAACATTATGGAGGAAGCAATGATACATAGGTGGTGGAGTTTGGGATGGGGCAGGCGTTTCTTTCCTTTCAATATAATGTAAGTTTAGTACTTTGTTCCTTACATAGGGGTATGATGACAGTAATAATAAAATAATAACATTAAATCGATATAGCTAATTTTCTAGTGACTTTTATATAAATCTAGCGACCATCAAGGTGAATTGAAATCAAGCGACAATCAGTTAAAAACAATTGCCAACAGTGGGCATGACTGCTAACCTTATAACGCGTACCTAAAGGATAAAGTTCTAAACACAAGGAGTTGCGTCCGTCGGTGAGTAAATATTTCGGCAAGGTTTATTCTTTCAGACGTAGAGGCGTCGCTAGGCGCTGGCACACGGGGATCGTGACCTGATTCTATTTGATAGTTCCCAGAATCCCCAGTTGGTGTCTTGAAAAATCAGAAGAGTTGATATCATACTGAAACGCCGAAAATTCCCGCGCCCTAGGGACCCGACCCCCAAATCTTTTATGGAATCTAGCGACACCTCTGTTCAGACGCTTCATGTACTATATTCCACAACAATTTACACACAAAATTATAATTGTTTTCTCTGTGTAGTATTTAGATATTGCCAGTTCAAGTATATTAGTGTAAAATTTTGTATACAAAGCTGTCATTCATTCTTAAGAAAATAAACTATCATTTTACTTCGCCATTTGCGCAATATTATGGCTTTTCGTACAGCTACACAGCTACTAATACTGTATCATTCATAAGTTGTGCTGTACACAACGCCACCATTTTGAACAAACTATAATACGTGAATTCTTAATCACTAACCTGTTGATCTCCCGTATCATTTCTAGCCTTGTTTGGTAAAGAATCACAGTTCTTGTTATTTTTACTAAACTCCATAGTTGTTGTTCATGCGGCAACGAGTCCTAGAGTGTAGTTAAAACAGACGAAGTAATTTAACATACATGAACTCGACAGTCTCAGAATGTGAGAACGCCCAGCGTCCAAGATCTCGACCGTCGTGTGATGACGTAGACCAAAGTTACACCCATCACGTAAAACCGGTCCTCGAAAGTTCCCCACTAATTATTCACCGTTTCCCACGACAAACTAAAACCTGCAAACTCAATTGCTTAATTAAACCATATTAGTTAGTTAACAGATATGTTAATATTGGTAATTACTAAAAAAAAAAAACAGACGGTTAAATTCATAAATAAACAGTTACTCAACCAGTGGATTATATGGTACAACTAAAATTGTTTGTAACGTTCATATTATTTACTTAAAACTGCTAATTCTATCGTGCTACTGTAACCACGAACTCTATGAGGTTTGAATAATATGAACCCGTAATTGTAATGCTCAAAATCGCAGGGCAATTAATCCAGAACGTTGTGCAATAGTTGTTTTTGTGTGCTAAAAACATATGCTTTTATAGTCAATAATTGTTTCTGTGGTGAGCATTGTTTAATGGTTTTGTTGATGTTTAACGGTTTATAAAGATTTTTAAAATTTAATTAACATGATAGTTTTGTAAACTCTTACCTAAATTTCAAGTTGTGTTTCTGCTTTACATTTTGTACAGTTATTTGTGTATCATGATTTCATTAACGTCAAGTATAAAATAATTGGTATTCTAAAAAATGTTCTCTTTTTTTTCTTTTTTTAAGTTTAGTAAATGATCTTGTATATAAAAGAAGTGTGTGTATATTTCTTTGCACATTTTATACAAGCAATGTCTTATTGGTTTTAGTCAAGCTTAATGCTTTTGAGAGTTTAAAGATTGTAATGCGAACTGGAGAGTTGTATTCATTGTTAAAAATATAAATAAAACATGACCTATTACTCCAGACAATAATAATCGTTTTATTTAAGCCAATGTTTCGTCATTACAGACAGCTTCATTAGGGCAAGCAAGACACTCGCTAACAGATTTTAGGCTTATACACAAAATTTCAGATTAATTCGTTGGCTATATATACAATCTATATAAATATAATCGTATAGTCTGTTTTGTACTGGTCTGTTGTATGTCCATGTAACTACTTCGCAGTGTGTGAATGGATCTTCACCAAAATTGGTAAGGAGATTCATTAGGTCCATACATGAGTATATAAAAATTTTCACTTTTGCATTTTGCGTTTTTTTTTTGTTGTTGTTGTTGTTCCCCCCCCCCTCTTATGTACCCTCCACAACAATCTTCTACTGGTTTCTCCTACATATAATTTTCCTCAAGATGTGTGCTTATATTAACCCAAGAACATCCGTTCGAGGCCCGAAATCGAATTCTTACACTAAGAATCAATATAACTGCACATCAAAATGCGTCATCATAGAGTCAGTAGACTCTTCTATATGTAGGGATGGCCAAGGTACTTAATATGCATAGAATAAATATGCACGCTAAAAAATCAACAGTGACAGAGAGTTTTACTTTAAAATATGATTGCCACTCACTTTCATTTCTTTCTTTACCCAACAAGCCCCAAAACAAGACAATACACCATCGTTAAGATTCCAAACCAGAACGTTACCAACCCACCAAATTTTTCATCTTTCTTCTTCTTGTTTCAGTCGAGATAACTCTACAACTGCTTTATCACTAACGTCAGTTTAAACCTAAGTCCACTCTGTGTGTTTCTGGGCAGTGCACGATGTCATCGCTTAGTCCTAATAACTGGTAGTAATTTAAAAAAATCATAATTCTAGTGTAAACGATAGTATCATAACACCTTGAAGTTAGCTTTTTTACAGAAATTCGGTGTTCTTATAAACAGCTTAAATACAGGGTGAAACAGGAATTACCAGCCAATAGTAGAATAACATTATATTACTGTAACATATAGAAGACTCAATGTTTTGTATATTATACAATCAATATCTTTAGGGAACCAACCCATATATTATGTATGAAGTGAAGGAGTAAAACAAATCAATACACATAATATTAAATTGTATTACATACATATATTCATAGGATACACTAGCTTTCAGTCAAGGGGAAAACGTCACAAAACAAGTAATAAAAACATTTTGTAAATGTAAAATGATGTAAGGATGGCAGTGCCAAAAAGAATGCAAACATGAATATAGGGATGATACAACTGTACACAGATCATCCCCACATCACTTTCAATATTAAAATTTAATATTATACTGTAAAATGCATACTTAACTTTAATATTACTGCAGTTGGAAGTTATATATATTCCTGACTGTTGAAATGTAGTTTTTTTATCATAATATCATGATCATGTCAGAATAGGAATCAATGTAGTGTAGCTAAGAGCCTAGGACTTACGTACAAGAAAAACCAAGTTGAGTCAAAAGATGTTTTGATTATTACAGACAATCAATCAAATTGACCGACCTCGTAACTATTTTTAACACTTGTATCATCCCTATATTCTTGTTTGTATTCCTTATTGACACCACTATACCTACATCATTTTACATTTAGAAAATGCGTTTTATTTCTTCTATATTCTATTGTATACACGTGTTGTGGAAAATTACACAAGTAGTATATTAGCAGAATGCATCCGACAAATACATAATAAATTGTAATGCAGATGAGAAATCAATAGCTCGACACTTTAATTTGCAAAACCGCACCCCTGTACATTTTAAATATTTGTTTTGAGAAAGACCCCTACAAAAAATATAACCACGAACCTGGGAACCACCACTCCAATGGTATTAATGAACATTATATCATTTTATAATGTTTCTATCCTTTGGTTTAAATACATTCTTTCCATTTAAAATTTTTCTTGTTTAATTTTTTCCATAGATATATATGGCTTATAACTTTTGTTGACTGAACATTTAATTACTAAATTCAATGTTTTAACTTTTACCTAATAGTCATTTTTGAATTTTTAGTTTAAAAATCCATAATATATATATATTCATGTAGACGTGGGAAAATACCATTTCCGAAACGGTACTTTGCCTCCTCTCACAAGATTAGCTATAGAGTTCAGTGCTTCCCTCTATACGAGAATTTTTTTCTTTAGGCATGTCTCCTCTCACAAGATTAGCTATTCTCGTTCAGTGCTGCCCTCTATACGCGAGAATTTTCTTTACGCATGCCACAAGCCTTCCGATACCCCCTACCCGTTGGAATTACTATATTCCAACATGTATCTCATGTAAATTATCATTGGTGTCAAAGAGTGGGACGGAAAAAAAATGGAAACGAGAAGCTGTAAATCAAACTACAGCTTAGCAGATTTGATGGCAGCAATACAAGAACAGCAAAATAAACAAGAAGAACGGGAAAATAAACAAGAAGAGAGATTACAGCAGATGTTGGAGGAAAAAGAAAAGAAACAAGAAGAACGAGAAAATAAACAAGAAGAGAGATTACAGCAGTGATTGGAGGAAAAAGAAAAAAACAAGAAGAGAGACAACAGCAGTTGCAAAAAAACCTGCAACAGTGGCAGCTCGAACAGCAAAATAAACAAGAAAAGAGATTACAGCAGTTGTTGGAGGAAAAAAGAAAAGAAACAAGAAGAGAGACAACAACAGTGGCAAGAAAACTTGCAACAGTGGCAGCTCGAACAACAAAATAAACAAGAGAGATTACAGCAGTTGTT